CGCAGACGCAGGACATTTGTATCAGGCATGAATGTATTATGACACCTCTTATCACCACCACATAATGCTTTGCCAAATTGAGCATTACTAAACAAAGAACGTACCTTAAAAGCTAAAGGAGAGCCTCTGTTTACAATGAAACTAGGATTATAAAGTAACACTACTGCAGTGACAACTGCTACAATGTCTACAACATACCAGTGTCTAAATTGTCAGAAAATGCAATCTTACTTTACATAATAACAATTAATGATGACAACGTTCATTCTCCATTGTTTGTAGTTTTTATTAACATTAATATGAACTTAAACAGAGTCACAGGATTTATGGAGCAACTTCACTGCTAGAACAGGTAGCAACATATATCAAGTGTTTTCTCCTGATGGTCATTTCTGATCTTTTACAAAATGAAGTCCACAGGACTTAAGTTTCCCTTATGACCTTGGTCAGCTTCTGAATCTTTGTTTTGGTGGACATGTCCACATACTTGTCTCCGATACTGACAATCATGCCACCCAGGACTGAAGGATCCGACTGTGAAGAGGTGACAAGAGTTGATATTACAGATGGCTCAGAGTTACATTATTGTTTATTCAGTAAATTGGCATCATGCTGCTTTGTTTCACCTTTACTTAAATTAAGATAAATGTACACCAACTGCAAAAGGGGCTTTTTATGTTTTTGGGATCATGTATTTGTACTGTACCTTTGTTTCCAGCTTGAGAGTTTCACCTTTCTGAAGGAAACCATTGAGAGCTACTTTCAGGTCAGCAAGATTAGCTTCATTCAAAGGCTGAAAAGGATACATATTCATTGGATGACTATACAATGCATCTACAGAAAAAAACACAATTATCAACTGAAAGGCCATTTTCTATATGTGTAGTCTTTATAACAATCCCCATACAGACACCAAAACCAGCAATGAATTGCCTCTACTCGCTGTTAATGTCTCTCAGTCACCAACCTGGATCAGCTTTATCATCGATGTCATATAGACAACCATTGTTGTACAAAATTAAAAAGGCTTCAGGGAAACAATCCACTGCACTGGGTCCAAACGACCATACAGTAAACCTTTACAGCACCTAAAATAATCAAGTCAACTGCGCATATGGGAGATCTTCACACGAACTGTACAAAAATTATGGCCATTTGGAGCTTTTTGGGGCACGTCACCCAGTGCAGTGGTGTGTTTTACTGATGCCTTTTTAATTGTTTTTGAGCAAAAAAAGAGAACTATGGCACAGGTGAATAATCTAACTGCCTCTACTCACAGGCATGAGTAGAGGCAGTTTAGTGTTGGTTTTAGTCTCTGTATGGGGACTGTTGAAAAGACAACACAGAAAATGACCAATCTTATCTTTTAATGCACTGCTACATAATAGAGATTACTTGTATGAGGTGACTTGCTTTGAAGCGTAGGGTTAACAATAATGTGCAAGAACAATTCGTGCATGTCCACCCATCTCTTACCTGAGCAGTAGTGACAGAGCAGAGGACCTCTCCACGGTGCGCGCTCATCATCTTGCCAAAAGCACTGATAACATCACCAGTTCGAGTAAGACGACCATTGTCAGCCAAAACATCTGCAAAACAAAAAGCAGGATATGTCTGATTAACCATTTTAATATTTCTCTATATTAACAATTGACAGCTTTCAGATGAAAAATAATGAGTGAGCAAACATAATAGTGTACAGCACTCATAGTGTATTAACATTAGTTTAGCAAGATGTAAAACTTCTTCTTTTACTTTTGGCCTCTTTGTTGTACAATAATTGAGTTTTACCAAGTGTGTGTGGATAGATGACTGTACTTTTATTACTCCCCATGTTTATTAATTAAGTCAGAAATTGTAGGAAATACTTCAGATTCTTATAACCTCTTTAAGATCTAAGCAAACAGAGTTAAACCTATTTCATTTAAACTACGATATGTATGAACACTACACACATAAAATCTACTATGGTTTTCTTTGCTGTGATTAAGTCAATGTCATGCTAAGGCATAAACAATCGGGTCGCTTAGCCCTGGTCAATGAACACTCACTCATGAGGTTGACAGTAATAGGTGAAACCTTAGCCTTTGTAAGCGCATCACTGAAGGTTTTCTGCTTGATGCTGCGTTTAACATGAGGATTCATTACAATGCTGGAAATCTTGGGGTCCTTGATCAGGGTCTGAAAACCAGGATGGCACAAAGCAAAAGGCGAGTGAACTTATGTTCTAGAGGAAAGGCTGGGCTGAAACTGCATGGATTAGCAAACTCTGGCACTGATCACATTATCCCATTCAGCCATTGCTCAGATATACAGTACATTTAGAAATATTATGGAGGGTCCAAATGTATTACCAGTAACAATATTATACATATAACATGGCTAAAATGTTGAGAAAAACACTATATTCATTATCCACTTATCTCTACATCAATAAACTACAATTCAATTACGTTTTTGACTTACAGACACTTTTCGCAGTTCCTGCTCCACTTGGTCCAGTTTGTTCTGCTTACTGGCAGCTGAGAATAGAGCAGTGGCATAGCGGCCCTCCACTCCATACAATTGAATGGGGTGCTAGAAGGACATACGAGATAAAGTAAACTGCGATCAATAACAAATTATGTTGGAATCTGTAGACGAATGGTTTGGCTCAGTGCAGTTTACCTTAACCAGTTTTGCTGCAGGTCTGATCACAGAAGTGCTGAACTGGCGGACCTATAAAAGAACTGCATGATCTCAAAATAGAGAAATCGGAAACTGAAACAACAAGCTTTTGGCTGACCTTGTACCTTTTAAATTGCGTTAAACACAACTAGCTGGTAGGCTAACAAGTTAGCAGTCATTCAAGTGCAATGCCCTGTGTGGGTTTGTTGAACATTTAGCTTTATCCTCTGATTATCAGAAGAAACATAATACTTAAGATATATTTCTAAGGTGTGAATATTTTGGTCTAAACTATTATAAAAACAATAAAATAACACAAATCATTGAACATCTTACCTGCTGTCCTAGCATGAGTGCTGCCATTTTCGGTAGTTTACCTTAATCAGTTTTGCTGCAGGTCTGATCACAGACGTGCTGAACTGGCGGACCTATAAAAGAAATGCATGATCTCAAAATAGAGAAATCGGAAACTGAAACAACGAGCTTTTGGCTGACTTTGTACCTTTTAAATTGCGTTAAACACAACTAGCTGGTAGGCTAACAAGTTAGCAGTCATTCAAGTGCAATGGCCTGTGTGGATTTGTTGAACATTTAGCTTTATCCTCTGATTATCAGAAGAAACATAATACTTAAGATATATTTCTAAGGTGTGAATATTTTGGTCTAAACTATTATAAAAACAATAAAATAACACAAATCATTGAACGTCTTACCTGCTGTCCTAGCATGAATGCTGCCATTTTCTCCTACAACTGTCCAGAGTAGAATAAACGAATGCGCACGCGCATTTCAGAGAAAGACGTCATGCTATGGGTAATGTAGTCTTTAGAGTGTAGCGCGTTCTGACAAGCGAGGAAAAGGCTATCTATGTACAGTATATTGTGTTTTTTTTCCAAGACGATTATAATATCTTACTATAGGCGTAATCATTGTGCCTAGTGTTAAATTATACGAAAGTCCTGATAAAATTACCAGTCCTAACACTTAAAGCGCATTTTAAAGGCCTACTGCTTGTGTATTCTGACAGAAAAGACTTTATTTTATATAAAGCACATTTACACCACTGAAACTGGCACTTCACTTGCATAGGCACTGTCTACCTAACAGATTGAGTTACAGTTCTTAAATTCACATTTATGTTACCTGGTAGATTCTGTAGGCTTATTCTCAACTTTTACAGAATGAGGTCTTTCACCTCACAGGAACAAAATGACCCGCATCTCTTTAAGTAGGCCTATATTTGGTAACCAGCTGTGACAGGTGTCCTACCTTTGGGAAAAAGATACTCCACTTTTCCCCCTGAGAGTGTTAATCATATTGTAAAAATACTGGTATATGTTTGTTATTATTATTATTATTTTAAAAATTTCTGTACACTGTTCTTGACTTACACATTTTTATCATGCAAGTGGCAAGGCTCCGGATGGCAATGTCATTTTTTTGAGTGGTCCATGGAATACCATGAAATTTGATAGATAGCATGGTGTCCAGAAACTAAATCCTTAAAATTTGGTAGATCCAGTTCAAAACAGGCAACTACTTAGACTCATTGCAAGATATCCACAATGCAAACTATTTTGAATAAACCTAAACAGAAGTGAGGTGAAAAAACCTTAAAAAAATCAACTGGACTAGATTTCTAGGTCAAACCCATTTGCACACAACAAAACACATGAACATCGGCGGCCGGTCGGGGTCGCCACAGTATGCTTACTCCTGACTGTTCTCTCTTTTCTCCAGCAGAGGGCAGTTCAACCAGCAATTTCACTTTTTAAATAACCGGCATTCAGAAAATAAATATAAAATAAGTGAACAAAACATTATAGAATAATTGCTCAAACAAATATAGAAAGTATTTTTTTTTTATCCACCTTGAACGGCCTGCCATGGATGCGATGACGTAAACAGGATTTGTTGCTCAGCCTCGCTTTGGACCACAGCTTTAGGGCTGGGTCTACAGTTTCTGTGAGCTAGTTTTATAGTCGTCACTAACAGGTATGACCTTAGTAGAGAACTTCGCTGTTTCTGTATCATGTGAAACGATCACTTTGCATCCACCAAACTGTTGGCGCATTCGTTTTCGCTGAGTACGCAAACACAAACGCACAGACACTACAAGCTGCTAATGACCACAGAGTTTGCTAGGACGAAGCCGGGCCATCAAAACGTAACGAAATAACGACAGGTTTTCCTGAGGATTTTGTTCGCTAGCTGACAACAAACCAGGCATGGACGACAAGTCGTTAACCAAGGAGCTGGACGGATGGATTGAACAACTGAATGAATGCAAGCAGCTAACAGAGAATCAGGTCAAAGTCCTATGCGAAAAGGTAAGGTTTGTGCAGGAAGTCAGGTGAGCTTTAAACACCAACTGTTAGCACTACAGTGCTAGCGGGTCGTTAGCTGTGTCACATCTCCTGAATCGATAGACTTAGTATAAATAGCATATTGCCTGGACTAAAATCCGTATGTGGCCTTGCGCCGGAGCTACATGCAGATCATCACTAAAGGTGCCCACTCATCGAGAAGATGAAGGGGGCGGCTGCAAATGTGTTTTCCCTTACTTAGCCCACCTTTGATACCTTTTTACCACTGGAGTTTACTGAGTCTACCGCAGCTAACAGTATAATAATAGGCTGTGTCCTTCATGAATGCTCCTTGTTTACACCCCTGGGCGTCTCTACATTGCATTGGCCTAGCTGTTAATCAGCACCCTCCTGTGTTTTCTCGGTCCTTTAAGGCTAAGGAGATCTTGACAAAGGAGTCCAATGTGCAGCAGGTGAGATGTCCAGTAACAGTCTGCGGAGATGTCCATGGCCAGTTCCATGACCTAATGGAGCTGTTTAAGATCGGAGGGAAGTCCCCAGACACCAACTACCTCTTTATGGGAGACTATGTTGACAGAGGCTACTATTCTGTGGAGACAGTCAGTCTTCTGGTTTCACTGAAGGTAAAATAAAAGATACAAGAAAAAAGATAACGTTAGATAAGTATAATAATGATGTTAGTGGCTGATTATTCTTGAATTGTGTTTATAAATACAATTATTTTAGGTAAGATTTCCTGAAAGAATCACAATTCTCAGAGGGAACCATGAAAGCAGACAGATCACACAAGTGTATGGCTTCTATGATGAGTGCTTGAGGAAATATGGAAATGCCAATGTTTGGAAGTACTTCACAGATCTGTTTGACTATCTACCCCTCACTGCGCTTGTAGATAACCAGGTGAGATACAGTAGTTGTGTCTACATGCGGCACCTGTGATCCTGTACAGACAAAAGGACTTTGTCATTTATTTATTTACCTTTATCCTTTGTTCTCTAAGATTTTCTGCCTCCATGGAGGACTGTCCCCTTCAATAGATACACTGGAACACATCAGAGCGCTGGATCGCTTACAGGAGGTTCCTCATGAGGTGATTCTTCAGTGATTTCACACTAGTGGTACTCATTCTATAAGTTACCGTCATGAGATTTGGATATTAACCTCTATATTAAAGAGGATACTGGTGACTAGTTACAAGGATGTTCTAATACAGGGGTTCTCAGACTTTTGTGACTTAAGACTCACTTTTGATTGTTAAAATTTTTGAGGACTGCTTGACAAATCAATGAGAAAAACATAACGTGCTCAGTGTATGTATTCAGGGTCATATTTCCTCACCACATGCTTTGGAGCGTTTACTGACGCTGCAGGGTTTTCTCCCGAATCAGCTTTTTCTCTCTTTTTTTTTTTTTTGTTTGTTTCAAAAACCAGTCAATTCTGCATCTGAGGAAACGTTGACTGCCTGCTAGCTAACAGCAGTAAAACATGTTTGTCACTTCCTGATGGTGTGTTTTGATGTTGAAATGTAATTGGTCATTGAAATTATGCATTTTAATTTTGGTTTTTATGTGAATTCTTGAGTACATTTAGTAAATACCAAGCTTTGGAATATAATTATTATTATTTAAATCTAACCTTTTGCTGTAGCTACTACTCTGTGGCCCACCAGATGGCGCTCTGAGGCCCAGTGATTGAGAATGGCTGTTCGAATACATTTTGCACTCTGTTAAACATTCAGTATATTCATTTATACAAAGTCAGAGCTGAAATGTTGGTTAGTTGGTTAATCGCTTCGTCAATCCACAGAAAATGAATCAGCAAATTGTTTAAATAAATACTTCTGGGGTTTTGTATTGGTTAGAGGTGGCAGAGAGATAACACAAAGGCTACCTGTCCTATTCGAACCAGAGACATTGTGGTTCATGTTTGACGACTTAACCCTCACACATATTTCAGTTTTTTTTTTTAGCAAAAATTCCCAAATTTAACTGGTTCTACCTTCTCAAGTGTTGTTTTTTTGTCCTCTATGATAGTGTACTGAATATCTTTGAGTTTTGAACTGCTGGTCATTTGTATACAGTAGGTTGACTTTTTATAATTTTCTGCATGCTCGGTATTCTAAACAGCACCTGGTTTCCTTCCTCTTTCAGGGGCCCATGTGTGACTTGTTATGGTCAGACCCAGATGACCGTGGTGGTTGGGGCATCTCACCCCGTGGGGCTGGTTACACCTTCGGGCAGGATATTTCTGAGACTTTCAACCATGCAAACGGCCTAACTTTGGTCTCGAGAGCCCACCAGCTGGTGATGGAGGTACTTTAACCTTGTTTATCCACTGCAAGTCATTTTCCTTTCTCCTTGCACACACTGCAGATGGAACTATGACATTACATGTTATGAATTTAAGGTAACATGCCCGTAATCTCTTAATATAGGGTTATAATTGGTGCCATGACCGCAATGTAGTGACAGTCTTCAGTGCACCAAACTATTGTTACCGATGTGGAAACCAGGCAGCAATCATGGAACTTGATGATACGTTGAAATACTCTTTGTAAGTTAAGATTTTTAATATCAATATAAACGTGTTTAGTTTTGCCACTTCATAAAAAATAATTTGACAACAAAAAAAAAAAAATTAATGTGAGTGTGCCTCTTTGTTTTGTAGCCTACAGTTTGACCCTGCACCACGCAGAGGAGAGCCCCATGTGACTCGGCATACTCCAGACTATTTCCTGTAAAGATCACTGGCGACGATGGCGATGGGTTACACCGATGCTTGAGAAATGAAGCATTCATAATCCCATGGACCAAAAGAAGTCTGTGCCATAGTCACAGTTAAACTGAAACCATCACATCTAGCTAAAACTACTACTGTCCTTTCAAATCTTTCCTCTCTGTGCATGATGTTTTTATTGCTAGAAACGACTGCTACCATCACAACACCTGGGCCTAGATGTATAAACAATGTGTATACACAGAAACCGTGGGTATGCCTTTTCCCCACATATACAGGGGTATGCATAAACACAGACTGTCCTGGAAGAATGTGTGCACCTCGTTTCAGACCATGCGTACACATGATTTGAGTAGGTGTAATATGATGAAGTGGAAATAAAAGATAGGGTGAGACAGCCCATTGTAAACAGCTTGCATTGTTTTAGCTGTTTGCCTACACTGATCAGCCTTAATGTTATTGACTCCATAGATACTTTATTGATCCTGAGGGAAATTCAGGTATCCAGAAGCAGCAGCACTAATTATAAGAATCACAGCACGCCAAAATAAATGCATAAAAGTGTAAAACAGAAATGCAAAAAATATGAAAAGTATAAAAGTATGAGTATACAAATCTTAAAACTATATAAATATTGAGTAATGTGATTTGTTTAAGGGAACTTTACTTTTTCACAGGACTGTCGCCTACTATACTGTCAAACTTGTACATAGAGTCGTGTGTGTGTGTGTGGGGGGGAGGATCCTGCAAAGTTTTGCCAGTTATTGATTTATTGTTTATGTATCAATGCTGCCAACATGTCAGAGCATCAGCGGATGTAGTGTTCAGTCCTCTGCTCAAAGTAAAAGCCGCATTTAAAGGACGAAGTGAAATTTAATTTGTGACCTGTGGTGTTTTTCTACCATCTTACTGTTTTAGAATAAAAGTACAAATCCACGTATCTTCAGAACCATTTTACCATGCGCACTTTTTAATGGCGACGTCGGCGTTTTCTGTGCGTTTTGCCGCGTTGAGACAGGACTTTTACTTTCTCGGTGACGTTCCCGACACCGCGGGATGTGGCTGTGTGCGCTCTCCGTCGGTGCTGACGCTGCTGAATGTAAAATTAGCTGGCCGCAGCCTTTCAGGGACACCTCTTGCGGACCGCTGGAGCCCACAGCTTAGTAAGTGACCATATTTACAGCATGGATCTATTTACGCGTCAAGGTTAAACAGGCCGGCGTGCACTTTGGGTATGAGACCGTGAAAACTGGCTCCTTGTGAAGGCTGCTGGATGTGTGGATGTGGCAGACTGATACTAGTTGAATCCGGGGATCACAACTGGACGCTCACTGGGCTGGACAGATGTTTTTGGCTAGACAGATGTGTCTAATTAGCCGTTTAATAACGAGAACACTTGGACTTGCATTGGTTTGTGTCAGTGCTTTGCCCAGAAGCAAAAGCCCCCCCCCCAGTTAGGGTCCAGATTTGACTGGTCTGCGTCGGGTTAAGCAATTCATCGTATCCACGTACTCAGAGCTAGTTTATCCTGCGTCCACACACATAAATTAAACACGAAGTGAATGTCAAAATATCTGCCACATGCTGCCGATTTTGTAACCGAATGATGAGTTGTTGTGAATTGTATGTTAATGTGTAGCCACGCATCCCACCTTTGATTGGCCGAGAGTGAGGGCAGGAGCTGCTGAGGGTTTGGATATCATAGGCCGTGCAGTCCAAGGTTCAGTCCTGATTGGCCTCAGTAGACATTATATTAATGCTTATTAACAGGGGCTTAACAACAGCAGGAAATGCCCTGCAGTGTACAAATTCAGCTCCTGCACCCTTTTGGGGTTTTATTTGGGTGATCTCAGAGAAGGAGGCTGTTTTGTTGCCACCTGGGGAGAACAGCATAGAGATTAATTCAGTTTAAACAGAGAGCACGTCTCTTGCACTCCACAGCCACAGGCAAACAAAAGAGTGTTCTGGCTTGTTGTCAATCCAGCAGCCACCTTCGGTGCAATTTCAGGTGCAGTTTCATCATGCTGCTGGAGATCCTTGCACAGACTGGTCTCCCACTGGACCCTGAAACACTACTCTTCTCACACACTCATGCACATCCACCAACCTGCTGCTTTTAGCAGTGCAACAGAGCAGGCCAGTGTGAGGCATGTTCTTTTATATTGAAAATAAGTTGTAATGAAAGATACATTAGTGGATGTGATAATAAAACCCCAAATTTTGCATAACCTGCTGTTCCTAGCTCACTGTACCTGATGGATTATAGTTTTACTGATAAAACAAATACTTTGTACTATTCAGTGCAGATGCAACGGGCTTCAAAGAGCTGTTTTTCAGCCACAGTTTGGGGGTTGGTGTGTGCCTTTAATAGAGCTTTGCAATTTAGCTCAGTGTTAGGTCAGTCGTCACCATGGCAACATTACGCTGAATTAGCAGCATGGCAATCCAGAAAGGAGCTTTTCTTTTCAACCAACCCTCCTTCACTGATTTGTGTCTGCATTTGACAACAAAGGGCTGTAACCCCTGGGGCGAGTGCTGGAGCAGGGCCCTGGATTCCAGGAACAACATCACTCACTGTTTGACTAACACAATACAGTTATGAAACACTGTTTGTGTTATAATTCATCTTCACTTGTTGGATTTTCACTGTGAGGGACAGGTTTGTCTCAGATCACCATTCTAGCGTCCATTTATTTTCTCCAGGAGAAGGTTATTGAAAGTCCTTGAGCGTTAAAGTTTCATCCATACATACACTGTGCTTTGAAGAAAAAAACAAGTATGATCTTTGCAACATTTGCTTCCCCCCAGATAAATATGGCGGCAAAGCTGTCTACTTCCATAAATATCAAGGAGCCTCGGTGGGACCAGAGCACATTTGTAGGTCGAGCTAAACATTTCTTCACTGTCACAGACCCCAGGAACATCCTCCTCACCAACGAACAACTAGCACACGCACACAAAATTATCACAGACTACAGGTAAACCAGGCTACAGCTGCATAGTCAGCAGCCATTTACCAATAACCAGATTTAAAGGAGGGTTGGTATTGGATACATTTTGCTTTCTATCCCTCAGGCAAGGTATAGTCTCTCCAGGGCTGACAGAAGATGAACTGTGGAGAGCCAAATATGTTTTTGACTCTGCTTTCCATCCCGACACTGGGGAGAAGATGATCCTGATTGGCCGCATGTCGGCACAAGTTCCAATGAACATGACAATCACTGGCTGCATGATGACATTTTACAAGTGAGAACTTGTTTTCAAAGTATATACTCAGACTGTGACACCAAGCTTGACACTCACTGTTGATGCCACATTATTAGTAAATAGCCTTTTTCACAGAAGACATTTTGACATGGCATAGTAGGAAAATCAAATTTGTAATAATAAAAATAACGCCTGAATTCCAATTAGTTGCTTCAGTTTCAGGGTCTTCATATTGGCTCACTGTCATGGCTTACAGACACATTTGAATAAAACAGAGCTGTTGCGTTAATAGCAGCACCTGACAAGCCACTTGGTCTGTTATCTATCAAGACATGTCCTTAGGCTAATATTATTATTACTGAAGGATATCTGGAAAGGGAAACATTTAAGCCCAGTAATCCACATTTTTAAGGCATTTAAACACTAATAATAAAGTCCATCTTTATGTTTTCTAACTAAAATACAGCATTTCCTCTCCACATCCTTGATTATGACTCTGCTGTTGTAAATCTTGCAGGACGACTCCAGCTGTGTTGTTCTGGCAGTGGATTAATCAGTCTTTCAATGCAATAGTCAATTACACCAACAGGAGTGGTGATGCTCCAATTACAGTCAAGTAAGAGACCGTTTCTGATATTCACCCTTTACTTCAGCAACTTTTTGTGTTGATACCAGTTTTTGTGACCGGTGGCTCTTTTGTTTGCAGTCAACTTGGCACTGCTTATGTGTCTGCCACCACAGGGGCAGTCATCACTGCTCTAGGACTAAACGCACTAACAAAGGTATCGGTTCATCTAACCTCATTCTGCATCTCATTTTAATGTACTGACCTCAGCCGCCCCTGTGTGCAGTGTGAAGTCAGCCACACACCATCAGTCTCTGTCATAGCAGAGCCATGTTATTTACAGCATCACATTCTGTAATATGCATGTTGTCATTCCAGCTCTATGGTAGAAAAGCCATCATGTACAGCATCTAGAACCTGCAGTGACCTCGCACTTCCACTGGCATGAAAGATTAAACTGGTGTCAGGACAGTGTTTCATCATCCCTTCTGTTTTTATACTTCCTGCTGCAGCACGTCTCACCTCTGATTGGACGGTTTGTTCCGTTTGCTGCTGTAGCTGCTGCCAATTGTATCAACATCCCACTGATGAGACAAAGGTAAGGAGGATGTGCAGTGCTCAGAAAACGGGTTTGTAGCATGTCCCCAGTTACAACACAATGACTTTGACCCTGAGACAACACAACACTAATGTAGAAAACATCCCCAAAAACAAAGATTTTAAGGACATTCCTCTCAGAAGACCTAATCGAACTTCAGTTGGATTCCTCTTGATTTTACTTAATTTGCTTTGTGTCTTCAGAGAGCTTCAACACGGTATCCCCATAACAGATGAGAAGGACATCAGGTTAGGCGAGTCAACAAAAGCTGCACAGCAAGCCATCTCTCAGGTTGTCGTCTCCAGAATCCTCATGGCTGCTCCAGGAATGGGTAAGAAGATATACACTCAGCAGCCACTTTATTAGGTACATCTGTAATAAATAATTGAATTTATACATTTGACAATTTCACCAAAAACTGAGACATTGCAAGTTCCATAAATACAGATGTTGAGGTAGAAGTGTTGCATTGAAGTGCATACAGTTGTACACATGCACCTATTAAAGTGGCTGATGTGTGCACATATGATGGCATCATTTAATTAAAATATGTTTAAAGCCACCAGCTTTGTTGTATTTAAGGATTACAGCCAAGTGCAGTGATATTTTCTCTTTTCAGCTATCCCTCCATTTTTAATGAACCATTTGGAAAAGAAGGCCTTTCTGAAGGTAGGCATGTTTCACAATTAGCTGCACCCTTTAAAACACAAACAGCAGGGGGCTGCATTTGCTGCAGTAACCTCAACATGAACTGCATCGACACAGATGTGAAATACTCAGAGTGCTTAAGCTAAACAGTGGGAACCTGGTGTTCCACGCCGTCCATGCTGCTAAAATATAATATGCCTGTGTGTGAGGGGGGCGTGAGAGGTCTGTTGTTTATTTCGTTTTTCTAGCAGTTACGTTTTTTATATGGTTTTATTTTATATGTTAGGGTTTTTTTTCCATGGCTGTACCGACTGGAGGTCACTCTAAAATTTCATTATACATGTTACAATGACAATAAAGGATTATTTTATCTTATTTCTCTGCCTGCTCTTTTCAGAGGTTCCCATGGATGAGTGCACCTATTCAAGTCAGCCTGGTGGGATTCTGGTGAGTCCTCACAGATGGTCCCCCCTGATAAGCCACCATGTCAGTCCTTTGGGATTTCAACCCAATTTCTTACAAACAAGGATATGAAATATCAGTAATGCTAATATTTGTCACTTAGAATGTTGCTGTACAAAATTACTGTGTAGTATATCTAATGAAATGTACCCATATGATTTGATAGCTCCTTAGGTAATATTTCAAAGCTCTCACAGCCCATCTCTCTGTAACTGTGTGCCAGGTTTTGTGAGGCTTCAGAAATCTAATCTCTGGTTCAGTCATTCATTAGTGGTACTGCAGACTGGTAGTCAGCCAGCAGATTAAACAGCCTGTCTGGGTTTTCAGGAGTTTACACCAAAAGACGGCACAGATCCTTTCTCCCTTGTGTTTTACAGAGGTTTCCTAGCTCCACCTCCTCTGATCTAGACCTCAGAATGACAATTTACAGTCACTTGTAACATTTCTTTACTTCTGATTAACTGACATAATTGTGATTAGCAGCACATCCTGCCAACTAGCGTGTCGACTAATCTGCAATACAACGCAATATTAAAGCTAGTACACATGAAATGACCAGCTTGCTATGATGGCAGGAGGAAATTTCTCTTGCCCATCAGATATTTTTTAGACAATCAGATGATGGCAGGACAGAAAGCGTACATGTTTCTTAGAAATGCATTTCTGTTTCAGCCTGGTGTTTGCCACGCCACTGTGCTGTGCACTGTTCCCTCAGAAGAGGTGAGTGAAACATTCATACCTGACACTAGTCTGAACCCTGCCTTTTGGCTGAACGTGTGCAGAGTTTGTATGATTTCTTTCTGCCTGAACTGCTGCATAATGCATGTCTGACTGTTAAACCCTTCACTTCTCCCGTTCCTTCCCCTGATCTAGCTCAATGTCAGTCTGTCGCTTGGAGCTGGAGCTGCAGGAGAAAATCCGGGCCAGTCATCCAGGAGTAGAGCGGGTCTACTTCAACAAGGGTCTATGAGTGTGCAGCCCCCTCATCCAAACACTGCCATGTCACAGCTGCAGGCAAGCTCCTCACCTCCCTGCCAGCCCTACTCATTCCGTGTGCCAAAGTTAAGTTTGTGTCTCCTCATTTCCATCATTCAGATGATCTGAGGATTCCCTCTCCCAGCCAGTCTTTGTAAATGAGATGTTTGTTTTTGTCAGTGTCAGGTTTTATTCTATCTGCTAGAAAAGATTTTCTCTGACTGTATGATGCTGAGTCACGGCCGATACAGTGGCCTGTGTAAGATAGTTAAGTGGACACTTTTATTTCTGTAAAGCATTTTTATTAAGTTGGTTACTCGATCACCAAATCGTTTTCATAACTAAGGTTGGCAGGCAGTTTTCGTTTTTTTTTTTAAACCTGCATTATAATTGATTATGATCCGATTAATCAAAGACCTCTGCAGTTCATGCATTTGCCAAATCGGTACTCATGTTTTTTAGATCAACGATTACAACCTCATCCTCTGAACAGTGTTGCTTCAAAGAATGGTATTAATGGTATTATTCTGTTTATTTTGCCAAATGAGTGACATTCTGAAAACCGTTTCTCCAGGGATACATCATATTCAATGTGATGCTTTGATGATGGCGGCCATTGGTGGGTCAACATGGTGCTATATAAACAGTGCTTATTATACTATTTATTCTGCTTGCCAAACCTGCATGAACAAACCACTCTTCATATGAGCAGAATGGGAGTTAACCACGTACTGTACGTTTTCTCTTCTGTATACACAGACTCCATAGAGTATTCAGGCACCTTCACATTTTGAACTGTTTGTTGTAAAACAGATAAAATGTCCATTTTGCCCATCAGTCTATGCTCAGTAACTGATGACAAAGGTGAAAACATTTTGCAAATATATTAAAAATCAAAAGTTGAAATCTCTCATTTACAGAAGTATTCAGACTCATAATTCATTACTTTGTTGAAGCCCATTTGGCAGCAAGTACAGCTTCAAGTCTTCCTAGTACATCTGTACAAGCTTCACATACCTGGATTTGGGCAGTTCAACCAATCTTCATGTCACATGTGTTCTATGTGGTTTAAGTCCGAGCTTTGTCTGGGCCACTCAAGGAAGGTCAGACACTTGTCCTTATGTCACTCCAGTGATGTCTTGGCTGTAGGCTTCAAGTCATTGTTGTGCTGGACAGTGTGAATGGAAGTCACAGTCTCAGTTCAGCTCTGGAGCAGGTTTTACTCTAGGGCCTCTGTGGATTTGGCTACAATCACCCTTCCCTCAATTCTGGCCAGTTTTATACCCTCGTCCTGATCAACGCCTCACCACAAGTTTATCCCAGGGATCTACAGAGACTTCCTTAGACTTCATGGCCTGGTTTTTGTCCTGACATACAGTGTAAACTGTGGGACTTTACACTATACATACAGGTGTGTGATTCTAAACTAAGTCCAATCAAGTCGGTTTACCACAGGTGAACTCCAGTCAAGTTCTAGACACACCTCAAGCATAATTAAAGTAAAGAGGATGCACCTGACCATAAGTTGGAGGGCCACTGAAAACTTTAGTAAATGAGAGATTTCAGTTTTTGGTTTTTAAAACATTTGCAGACACTTTTAAACCCATATTTTCACTTTGTCCTTATGGGTTATTGAGTATAGATTGCTGGGTAAAAATGGCAATTTTGTCCATTTAAATTTCAATCTAAAACAAAGGTGTGGAGGAGTGAATACTTACTGAAGGCACTGTACGGTTCAGTCACACTTTGGCTACATTCAGTAGTACTCAACAGACTGTGGTGTTGTTAATAAGCATTTCAGCAAAACATACACTCTTCTATCGCTAATACTCAATAATCCAGAATAATATGACCACATCATTTGACCACACTAAAAGTGTAAATGCAGCATCCTCAAAGGTTTAATTATTACTGCACAGAGTGATGGTTTTAAAGTACATGGATGTATGCATTTGGGGTCTATGGTAGTTACAAACATTAGTACTGGGGGAAATGCCAAAGACATTTTCAAGATATGAATGGCATACAGAAGAATCCAGTCACCCAGGTTTATTGAAACTGCTGTGTGGACATTGCAAAGAGCATCACATTGAAATCCACTGGAACCTCATGCTGAATTGTCCCATCCTGGACAGTTTGAGGAATGTGGAAACTCCCAGATAAAATCAAGAAACAGCAAGAACCTCCTGATTTGTTTTATTATACGTTTGTTAAAGAGAAATATTTTACATCAGCTCACAGTACCACAGGTAAAGCAGGTAGCAGCAGTGAGTATTCAGATGATAATGCCTGGTAAGTGTGGACACAGTCGGTGTACACTGTTTTATCAGCCTGGTACCAGGCTGGATTCATCCAAAAGGCTCCCACACTTTTCAGCTGGTAAATAAAACTGGTGACCTTTGTGTGCTGCATTAATAGCTACTGTATTTCACTGCACTAAAGTGGAGGCCAGTTTCATATCAGAGACTGTACAGCAACATGCCAGATTTATCATTGGATATTTTAAAATCAGGGATGAAAAAAAAAAAAAGATGGACTTGAAGCAACAAAACTCAACAGCCGTAAATAAGTCTTCGAACAATTTCTCCTCATTTTGTAACTTTAAAAAATTTCCAAAGCACCTTTAGGACCCAATGAGCAATTGAAATCATTTGGTGCAATGCAAATGTTTACATTTTAAATATGAATATATCAAATGTTTGTGAATATTGATTTGATTTCATGACATCTTTGGCTCATCATGGAGTAGAACTTCCTGTAAGGTGTTTAGTGTTTAATATACTGTAAGTCTACTTACATATATCGCTGTGAACCTAACTTTATTTCAGATTGTCTGAGTCAGAGCTGTTCCCTAGCTGGTTTGACGTGAAGTTTGTTATTCTAATGTTCATGGTAACTGAATGTAGCATTCTACAGCTGTTCAGTGTCTTAGTCCAGGGAAGAACAACGTTGTAACAAATGTTTCAGATGTTGCTTATTTTTAAAACCCGTTTATTTTCCTGACTACAGTGCTTTTCAGCAGATCCCCAATCAGTGGAGTAAGAAAAGCCAATCAATACTAAACCTGCCCTCTGTTAGACATTACTGAGCGTCCACTTACCTCTGACTGCATATAATGAAAAGTCATTCTTTCTACCAAAAATGCCCATGTACAGCCAAAGCGATACAAATCAACTCGAGGAAAATTTATTTACAGTTAGCATTAATTGAAATGAATATTTTTAAAAAGATGACAACATTGTTGTTTGATTTTTCTGTGGTGCTAAGGTGATGTAATGTTTAGACTAACCGGATAAAATAAAGAGAATGAAAATCTTGTATGTGTTGTTTGTGACGATGACCACGTGGCTCCACAGCACCACCTTCTGGGTTAAATTGGACATAGCCAAGTGACATTACAAAGGCATTTTATTCAAAGGCACATAATGTTCTGAGGAATTATGAACTGCAGACACCAACTTGCTTAATTTACAGCACTGCACACAGATGGACATCATGGCAATGCAATGCACAAAACAACAGACTGGCATAACTGCAGTCAGGAAGCTGTGACAGATACATAACAGAATGCATCATGGGAGGCAGCAGGATAAACTGATGGACTTTTTAACCACCAGAAACAAACACTGGAGACGTTTAGCTGTAGTGATTTTCTACTAATTTGACACAGCAGATAGTAAAGTAGAGTCAGAAAATGTCTCTGTAATCACTTCAATGTAATCTAAAGCACAGACAGGATACACAGGATACTACTGCAAGATGTAACTGCTGTGGTCCGAATTTGACAACTTATACAGTGTGATTTAATGCAACAGTCTACTTCATATATCCATTTGTGTGTTGAGACACAGATGTGTTTAGTTGCTGATCCTGCTGCTGTGTCCTGGTACCCTGGGTAGAAAGATGTTTCTTTGATCAAGCGCACCAGCGTTAATCATAATTATTGTATAAAAAAAAAAGCAGATACATAAACAAAGCTCTATCACTGAATGAAACTCCTAGAAGCAGTAACACTATATTTCCTATTGTGAAGATACAATTTGGCCTTTTTATAACACGCACCTTTGCAACAAGCAAACAGTGACATTCATGTATCAACTTGTGTTTAAACCTAGCAGTGAATAATGTTCACATTCACTGGCACACACCCAGTATCAATGACCAAAGATGCAGAGGGTTGACAGAAGCAGAAGAATCCAGACTAGACTCCTGGCATCACCTGGCACAGTCTGCCTTATTCAGGTCTCTGCTCTGCTGACCACATCTCGGTCCACACTTTGTACATATTAAGTCTGAGGTAACTTCTGCACAGTGCTATCTTTGGGATGTGATGGATTTTGCCAAGGTGGCTTTTCAATTGACACTTGGATCACAGCAACAATTACTCCTCAATCCATTTATGCTCTACATAAAAATGAGTTTGTCGCAAACTACAAAACTGAACAAGTTTTTGTCTTACTGTGTTCACTAATTACACATTTTGGAAAATAAAAATGTATATTTGGATTAAACAATTTTTTCACATAAGACATAATAAAAACAAAGATAAATACAGATAAAATAAATACTCTAGATTTAAACAATGTTAAAATAATTTGTCATTTAAGGAAGAAATATTAAAATAACTGTAGTGTCAACTCTTACAAGGGGCACTACTGTTAAAATGTCTTTGGATAGATGTTAAAGATTGTACTGGCAAATGACCACAATGGCAGAGCTGATCTCAGCTCTGCTTCCTAAAAGCAAACACCTGCTCATAAATGTTCACACATCTGCAGACAGACAGCATCAGAAGAGCGAAGTGTCAAAGGGTTGGTCAAAGAGTGTACCCAAGGGCAGAGACCTCAAGAACTAGTGACAAAAGGCAGTCTGTCAATGAACAAGAGGAACTCAACCCAACATGTTCTGAAATGGATATGATCTGCAGGTTGAGCTTAAAGGAAACAAGGTTCATACAAGCTCTCTTCAAGTCAACAGTGCTGCCCTAAGGCACCTACAGTCGATGGACAGAATATTTAGTATAACCCTTTAAACTTAGTGTGGTCTAGCCTTGAATAAATGTAGCTGTAGTCTATTTCAGCATACAAAAGTCTTTGCTGGGCCATGTTCAGCAAAACTCCTCCTCGCCCAGCGCCTCCCCCACCAGCAGTGAATGTTTATCGGGCTCACTGAGCGCCAAGCTGTTGAGCGAGTGCCTGTCTGAGCGTAAGGAGTTGATCGAGGCTCGGCTGTAGTTGACAAAACGGTCCAGCAGGCTGAGTCTGGGGGAGGGACGACGCATCTCACCCATGCCGATGTGGACGCTGACATTGGACAGGCTGCCCTGCTGCCTGCTGCTCCCCAGTTGAGCCTCCAGCATCTCAGCACTGGGCTTAGTGTAACTACAAAAACAGAGATAAATACAGAATGTGATGAGGAAAGGGTTTTAGATGACTACACTTAAAAAGGTGAAAAACAAAGCACAAGGATAAAAGCTGTCTCAACAAAGCATGAAATAGCTCATTACCATTTAAGTAGAAGAGAGGACAAAACCACAGAAACAGATGACAGTGCCATTGCAGCGGAGCCCATCCATGGCTGCAACACCAGACCAATGGGAAGGAAAACACCTGTGAGCAAGACAAATTTCATGTTACTGTACTGGTCAAAGTTGTTTGAATGATCATTGTCAGTGTGCTGATATGATCCAAATCTTTTGCAGTCACCTACCAGCAGCGATTGGAATGCCAACGAGGTTGTAGACTAAAGCAAAGACAAAGTTGATCCTAATCCTCTTGACGGTCTTCTTAGAGAGGTCAATACTGCCCACCACATCCAGGAGGTCGTTCTGCAGTAAAAATGAAGACAATGCTAGGAAAAGGTTGGAAATGCCAGATAAACAGCTATTTGTAATAAATGTAAGGGATTTAAAACATAACTGATTTACTAAATATTGTATTTGCAGATTAAGCTGTATTATACTTTTGGCATCAATGATGACATTATACAGTATCACAATATACTGTGATTTATGAAATGGCTGATGGGCAAAACAGGGACAGAAATTCATGACAGACTCTTAAAAAAATTCTCCAAGCTCAAAATCTCACCCTGATCAACACCACATCTGCTGCCTCTATGGCAACATCTGTGCCGGTTCCTATGGCGATGCCCACGTCAGCCATGGCCAGAGCAGGGGAGTCGTTTACACCATCACCCACCATGGCTACTCTCTTTCCTGCCTGCTGTAACTGTTCCACCATGGCCACCTTGTGGGAAGGAAGCACCTCCGCAAACACCTTCCTGATACCCACCTGGTGGAGAAGCAGAAGGTCACAGAGGCTCAGATTTGGCTTTTTTCCCCTCTGCTTTTTGTGTTGTTGTAGACAAAAGAAAGAAGCATGAGAATACCAAAGAATCTGTGACTGCAACAATTTTCTGGGAGAAGCAGTGTGTTATCCAACAGAAATGCAGGGGTGGTGATATTTTTGGCCATGACTGTATGAAGGTTTGTATGAAAGCACACATTTTCCACTTATTGTTACACTGTCAATACCCAGCAAGTGACTCAAAAATATTGATCTTTTCAAATCAACCAGCTCTTTATCCACACAGTCTATACCTGAGCAGCAATGGCTCGTGCAGTCTTGCTGTTGTCTCCGGTCATCAACACAACTTCCAGACCCATGTGGGTCAGAGTGTGCACAGCCAGCTCAGCCTCTGGTTTCACTGCGTCTGCTATGGCTATCATCGCACACAGCATGTCTATGCACAAATAAAAGGATTTGATAACAAAAACACAATCATTTTAGCAGCTGGACAGAAAATGCTGGCAAGCAGCTAAAAGGCTAAATGTAACATTAAACAGTATCACTCACTGTCCACAGCTACTAGAACAGCAGTGCGGCCTCTGCGCTCATGCTCAGTCATGGCCTCCTCTGTATCACGTCTGATCTGTAGGCAGTACCTGCTCATCCACTCTCTGTTGCCAATCAGGACAACATAGGTGGTTGTGGGGATGAGGCCTATACACAGATCACATGGGTTAGATTCACAACAGAAAGGAAACAAAAGATGAATGAAGCACAAGTTCACTATCTCCATTACTTAAATTCAATCTAGAAAAACATCAACTAAACGTATCTGCTGGATAAATGACTACAACAACATGTTAGGACTCCATCTCTTACTTGGTGGCTGTGGGTCCATGATGAGTGGATGGGTGCTAGTGGTTATCTTGGTGTTACTGATCTGCACAAGGACGCTGTTGCGCTGGTTGTTGTCCTCGCTGTCACTATCAGTCTGTTTCAGCAAGGACTCTATATTGCTGACCTGACAGCGGATGCCACAGCCCGGCACTGCCTGAAAGTCTGTGCATGTGCCAAGAGACTCTGTGCCAAGCTCCTGCACACAGACAGTTTTGAGATAACATTTTAGAAATCTAGGTCCTGCAGAGGACCGGTCACCTGAGAGTTCCAGTGAGTGGAGTGTGGGGGTCAAATCTGAGGTAGAGTCCAACCTGTTTGCAGTATTTAGTGATTGCTGCTCCTAGAGGGTGTTCACTGTTGTTCTCAGCGGTACCCACAATGGCTAGCAGTCGGGAACGAGGCATCTTGTTTCCCTCCACAACTAGCTTGACTTGGACAACCTTTGGAGCACCATATGTGATGGTCCCTGTCTTATCAAATACCACAGTCTGGACCTGCACATAAACAAGATATGTTAACAATCAACAAGAAATACTATCAGGATGAAATTTTAGTTTTCAGGGTATTTAATCAGGGTAATATCTAGATGTATGTCATTTTTTAATATAGGAAACCAGAAATCATTTCATATTATGTCCATGCAGTGTCAGGGGGGTCATAGTATATCACTAACACACCTTATGTGCCATCTCAAGCGGCTCTCCTCCCTTTATCAGGATACCATTTTGGGCTCCAACCCCCGTGCCCACCATGACAGCTGTCGGGGTTGCCAAGCCAAGGGAACAGGGACAGGCGATGCATAACACAGTTATGGAGGCCTGGAAGGCGAAACGAATCACTGCCTCAGTCCTGGAAATGCTCTTGTCATAGCCCTGAAGGGAGAAAATCAGGCTATTAGCTTTTGATTCAATTTATTTACACTTTTGCATTTACTAAAGGAAAGAAAGTTATATAGTGATCAAGTACAACATCAGATGCACTGACAAAGCAGTGACACTTAGGCAGGTCTAATTTTTTAAATGGTAGAAAATGAAAAGAAATCAGAAATTCAGAAATTGCATTGTTGCAGTTATTCTTTTATTGATACCATATCAATAATTTAAACTTAAAAACTAAATAGGCCTATTTTTGAAACAGGACCACCAGCATTTGGATGAAGTAGCTTGAGCTGAAATATATATGTCAGATTAAGTAAGATCTCTTCCAGCTTTTATTTCAATGTGTCAGATACAAATTTAATCAACAGTTACTGCAGTTAATCAACTATTGAATTGGATTTGATATTGGAAAATAACCACATTTTTTTGTGCTGGGACTGAGGCCAATACATGAATATGCAGCTACAGTATAGGCTCAGACCTAATCCCTTAAAGTTAAGGCCATCAGCTCTTCTAAAACTAACTCAATAAGCAGTACCCTATCCAGTGTAGATCCAAATATGCTCACACCTGAGCAAGTATTGTGAAAAGGATGACTAAGTAGGCTGTTCCTCTGTCTCTTTTTTCTCCGATACTGACTGTGTGCCTCACATAATACATGCTCTGGTGCACAGACTTTGCACCTGTGAGTGTTTGCGCATTTTGGAAACAGACTGTTTTACCTGTGTACGATCAGCTATAGGCCTACATGTTGCAATTAGGGCACAGAATGACCAAAAACTTTGGCACATGCTGGCCTGGCACAGCTGATGTGACATGTACACCAACATGAAGCAGGGCGAGTTCAGTATGTTTGTAGTCGGTTTAACACTTTTGAGTGGAGAACATGAACTGCTCATGACAAATATTATTGGGGGGTGGGTCCCCCAGTCCCCTGTGGAGAATATAGATGTCATTTCTTGATTTTTATCCTGCGGAGCTTGGTACAGTCAGACATTAAGACTGAAAAGAATACTCACAGGAAAGTACTTCTCCACTAGAGGAAAGTCAACAAGTCCAATGACAATCCAGGCGACAAGTGTAAGGATGGATATGCCAACAATGAAGGGTACAAAGTAGCCGCTGATTTTATCTGCATATTGCTGAATGGGAGCCTAAAAATAAAATGGCAGAAATTACAAACATGTACAACATTACTCTCATAGCAGGTAGGCACAGTGCTAATCTCAAATCACATAATTCACCTTTGAAGTTTGAGCCTCCTCCACTAGTTTGACAATCTGAGACAGCGTTGTGTCCATGCCAACATGTGTAGCACTGACAAGCAGAGAGCCATTCTGGTTAATGGAGCCTGCAATCACAGAGCTCCCGGGTTTCTTAGTCACTGGCATGGCCTCACCTGGAGTCACAAAGCAACAGCTGGTCAGAACACACAGTAGCAGCAGAAAACAGGCAGCAGGAAACAGATGTAGGTCATCTGGAGAAAATGCTGGTGCTTTGGCAGAAACCAGAGTAGAAATCATAACCAGAAGCTCCGTATCCATTTATTATCTCACACTGCAGCAAAAGGGAAAACTGCTAAATAACACGTTTCAGGGACCAATCGGAGCAGGAGTGAAGGCACAAACTGTATCTCTTGCACTGGCTGACTTCACCCAAGTATTTACATTTTAGCACATTACTGCCACCAATATTGATATCATTCATGCCATTAATCAACAATTACGATACTTGGTCCTTCAGTAACTGCAACCAACCTGTGATGAGAGACTCATCAGCCATGGAGTGTCCTTCAATGACCCTCCCATCTACTGGAAACTTCCCTCCTGGAACGACTTTTACCACATCACCCCTCTGCACCAGCTCAACATCCACCTGCTCCTCACTGAACAATATATATGGATGTCAAATAATGTAAATATCATAATTAATACAACACTACACTGCTTCTGTAAATATATTTTTCAATACAGAAAATAATTATGCACAGTTTTATTAAGCCAGATTTCTCTCAGCAGGATTTCTGAAATTACATGTCAGACTTTATCTCTTATTTTAAGGTAAACTTTGTCCTTCTATCTTTTGTCCTAGCGGCATCTCTCTGATAGAGCCAAGCTGAACTGTCATCTGAAAAGCAGGGGGGTGCTTCTCCCTTTAATTCTACATTTTTCATATGGAACATGTTTATTACATAGATTGGTAGAGGTTGAGTGGAAAAAAATGCCAGGCTTCATCAACATCAGAAAATAAAAATGTTTTCTCTAAGTCACTATGGCAAATGTCATGCAAAAAATGTAAAGTGTTTAAATTGTATTTTAGTAATGTAATGTGGTTTGGCTTTAGGGATTTTCATGGTCTTTATAAAAGCAATTGCACAATGATCCAACTGCACTATATATATATGTATGAAGACGATTTGTCAAAATAAAATCCAACAGAGCTGATTTCTTTTATATTTGGTGTAGTAAGAGGAGACCAGTTGTGTTAAGTTTAAAGCGTGATAAAGGTCTTTGAACGTGTCCGATGATGATTGACAACCAGTCACCTTAACAATTAAAACTAAACATTAAGACTGAATCCCAGTGAAAACTATCTGTGTCATTCTGCTGAAAATCACTTGCCACTTGTTTATGCTATGGTAGACCCTTCTATTGACATTTCAACTAATCTAAAACATGCGAATGGTTCCACTAAACCAGGTGAGTGTAGAGAATGAGCACCTGACAACAGACATGTCACTGCCCAGAGTAACCACTGTGGCCTCAGTGGCTTGTAGAGACATTAGTTTGGACAAAGCCTCTGATGTCTTGCTCTGGATGGAAGAAGAAAACAAAGAAAACAATTTCAAAGTAACTAATAAATTCAACAAAGGTTGCTCATTCCAGTGCTTCAATAAGATACAATGAAAGTCAAAGATTTCATTAACACTAGATGAGCTGAACCTTAGCTATCTGTTCCAGCCAGCGTCCCAGAGCGATGAAGACAAAGAGCATAGGTGGTGTGTCGAAGAAGGTGATGGGGTTGACTTTTGCCTTCTCCACCATGGCCACCATCAGGACAACCACTGAGTAGGTGAAGGCTATGGAAGTAGCCAGGACTATTAGGACATCCATGTTGGCAGATCGGTGTTTGACTGCTTTATAGGCTTGAATGTAGAAGTAACGACCACCAATCAACTAAGGAGAGGAAAAACAGAAAAGCTTGAAAACACAAACGTTTCATTCAGTCTCCCTACGCTTTCATAAATAAGTGCTTCTTTCACCACCTAATAATATGGTGCCGAGATGTCTATATCATGCTTCCTGAAGTTCAGTTCACCTGTCTGATTTACCTGTACAGGCACACAAAAGATGAAGGAGAGGAGGTTCATAATGGAGAGGCCTGGAAGCAGCTGTTTTTCCAGGAACATGTTGGAGTGGTAATGGTTGCGATCCTCCATGGTGAAGTTGTGATGATGTGAAACATTCATGTGGTGGTCCATGACCATCATGTAGATCATCATGCCCATTACGGGCACGCAGAAAATCAAGCTCACCAAGAAAGATTTTCTCCACCTTAGACAGCAAAATCAACTGGATTAATAATCAAGTTTCTCACTCTCCATGTTGCAGGTCAAAGCAACTGTACATAGAGATCCCAAGTCACTATATCAAGCATTGACCCACAAATACTGCATGTATACAACACTGCACAAACCTATGTCCGTACACCTTTGTACCAGTATGCAACTAAATACAGTATTATTAGAAACAGGTGATGCCCAAAACAAGCTCATAGCGACACCCCTAACACCCTACATTCCTCCCTCCTACCACATAATATTACATGTGGTTCAAAACATTAATTCTCAACTGGAGTTCTCTATGTTAGTATGAAACTCTCCATAGCCTTAAACAAGGCATTATTTATATTTCCGCTGGCAGTAATGGCCCAAGCTATGTGGAGAATCTGGATGCTGTAATTCACTGAGTATTATTAAGTGGGGGTGTTTCTACCGCTGTAAAACCTTTTTAGGAGCTGTCAGACTCTTTTCTGTAACATAAGACAAACTGCTGATCGACACTTAAACACATTTTGTGTAATAAAAATTCAAGCTCCACTTAAACCTGATGGATGGGCTGGATAGCTTGACAAACAGACAAACAAGCATAAACAATGTGCAAAAAACAAAAAGCCACTTACTGTCGTATTTCTTTACTGTGGTCCAGGTGGCTGGCAGTGCGATCCCTCTTTACCAAAGATGCTTCAAACCCCAGATCCTACAAATAACAGTCAAACCACCCATCAAACCTCAAGCCCTTGTTGTTCAGCACTTCAAATATATGAAATACAGTATGTCACTATGTCACTACCTTGCATGAATGTCACAAACTGAACAAATATATAAATAACAGTCAGAGGCCGGAGTACCTTGATCAGCTTAATGATGTCTCGTGACCCTATGATTTCTGAGTCGAACTTAATGTGTGCTTTGTTGGTTGCCAAGGCAACAGAGGCATATAAAATCCCCTTTTCTCTCATAAGGCTGGATTCAATTTTATGAACACAAGAGGCACACGTCATTCCCCTGACCTGATAAAAAGTGGAGAGGAGCACAAATAGAAAAAGGGACAAAAACATTTATTAAAGAGAGTATGAACTAAGGAACTGATGTGAATACTTGCATCTACTAAAAAAGGAGGCTGCTTGTATGAGACATGCTTCTCAGCTAGTGATGTAAATGTTTGTGGAGTTCATCCTGTTGAATTATTACTGTGTTAAATCTATTTGTCTTTTTAAGACTATACAAATATAATCTGGATAAGTCTGACTTCTTCCTACTCCATTCAAACATGTAATAGGTGTAAGCAAACTGATTTTGGATTAGCATTGGTTGGATATGTGTAATTATGTGTGTGTTGCTGTCATTGTTCTGTTCTGCATGTTTGAAAGAATCAATCAATCAATCAATCTCAATGCAACCTTTCGCTTACTCACCACCAGTTCTAGGTTTCCATCTGAACCTTCATAGTTCTCCATCACAGAGGCAGTGAACCCCAGCTCTTTTATACACTCAGCTATCTTCACAGGGTCAGTAACTTCAGGATTATAATGCACCTCTGCTTTACTGGCCATGAGCGCTACCAGAACAGAGTAGATGCCTGCACAACATTCAAGATTTTCTCATTAGTGTCCAGTTAAAGCAATTAGACAGTCAATCCTTACTGAAATGTGTAAATATTTGTGTTTTTACAGACCAGGTTCATTTTTAAGGTTTCGCTCAATGTTTGCCACACAGGAAGTGCAGGTCATCCCTCCAATCTTAATGTAGCATTTTGAGCGTGTGTCTCGGTTGCGTCCCTGGGACGTTTCTGTGTGTAGGTCACTGTCCAGCTCCTTATCTTTCACAGGTGCTAGACTCAAAGACTTTGATAGACTGGGATCAGGTGTGGGCAGTAGAGAATTGGTCTCTAAGGACAACAAATTATAGTTATTATAGGGACAAAAAAACTGTAGTTACCCATGATGTCTCACATTTAGAGCTCAAGTACCCCCACTGGCTGTGTTGCATTAACAGAAACCACATGTGGAAAGACATACATAAACAGTAGGGGAGCACCCCAAGGCAGCAATTCTTTAGTCAATACATCAAAATAATACTGCTTCAGCCATTTCACTATAATTAGCTGACTCAGCAAATGTATCATCCATCCACTCACCGGGTAGGAAGGCATCAAAGCCCATATCCTCTATGGCCTCCCTCAGCTCTTCCGGTGTGGTCAATAGGGGATCATACTCAAAGATCCCCTGGTGATCAGCCAGAGAGACCTGAGCTGAAACCACCCCCTTCCTTTGGGAAATCATGCTTTCTATGGATTGGACGCAGGAATTGCATGTCATGCCCTCAATGTGAATGTTAGCTACAGATGCCAAAGGCTGGGTAAAACAAGGTTTGGAGGCAGGTTTGGCCTGGGTTGATCCTGTAGGCAGAGGTGATAACATGAGAGTGGGTGAGGATAGATGACTGAGAGGGTCAAAGGAGTCCCAGGACTGAGTTTTGAAGTTCCCTGGAGGCAACGCCTCAATTGCCTGCTGCAGATGAGGCACTGTGACCTGTAGAGGATTATAGCAGATAGAGGCCATCTCCTTCTCCAAAGAGACCTCCACAGAGGAGACACCAGGCAGCATGGAGATGTTGTCTTGGATGTTGACCACGCAAGAATGGCAGTGCATGCCTTTCACCCTGAGTGTGACAGGTGTTGTGTCTATGAAGACTTCTGTCTCCTCAGAAGTCTCTGATGATGAAGAAACAGTTGGTTTTTGAGAATCAACAAAACGTTCGATTTCGCTGGGTGACAGCTGCAGAGGGCGGGGCTTGGTCTTGACAGAAGCCTTGAAGCCAGCTACAGCAATCTGGTCCATGATTGTTTGGACACTGATGAGGTAAGGCAGGTACACAATTGTAGCTTCCTGAGACGCTAAAACAACTGCAGAGAATTAAGATATGAAAAAGTTAAAATACAAACATAAAAAAGAAAGCAATTATTTTACAAAAACAGGAAGTGACTGTGCATTAAAATATGACACCGATGTTTTCAACTAATGAGTAAAAGTGGTAGAAGAACATTCATGTTTACCTTTTAAATAAAAATTCGATATATAATTTGCACAACACAAGTATTTCATCATTGTGAAATTGTTTAATGAGGATAAAATTTAAGGCAAAATTTTGTTTGGTACAATGTATCTAGAATATACAGCGTACATCTAGCAGCATATCCAGCCAGTTTACAGTATACACAAAGCCAATTCTGTAAGCACAGTGCATTCCGCAAACAATTCTATCAGTCTACATGTCTCTCTTTACAATATTAATGAAAGGATTTCATGACTCATAGTCAAATCTCCCTGAGCAATCACCGAGTGGTGAGCCTACACAGAGCCTCACCTACACAATTACAAGACACTTGTGATCTATAAAACAGTGCATTGGCTGTGTTACAACACCACTTCTAGTTCTGTGAGATAATACAGGACTCTAAGCTTGTGAACTGGTCAAGTACATCACCTTTGATCTTTTTAATCCCTTTCAGCTTCCCAATCTTCCCTTCAATAGTAGTGATGCAAGAGTGACAGGTCATCCCTTCAATGCACATCTTCAGGAGTGCCACCTCTCCTACTGTGCTGCGAGATGGAGATAAGGCTGGACTTTTTTGAACAGGGCTGCTGGGTGTGTGGTTCTCCAGAGGCATTACACTGGCTACCACCTCACTCAGCTGCTGCACAGAGGTCAGGGAAGGAACAAAGCTGACGGTTAGGCCCATATGTGCCAGGCCCTCTCTGACATCCAGCACTCCCTGAACCTGGGATAGCTTCTCCAAAGCCTCTTGTTGGGCTGCAGATGTCAGGCCTGAGGTGGGGATCAGCTGGGTATCTGTAGAGACTGGTGTGGCAGTGCTGGACTCTGACAGACCTGATTCAAAGCCCATGTCCTCAATGGCCTCTGACAGAGACTCTGGGCTCTGTTGGTTGTGGTCAAATATGACAGTGACGTTCTTATGCTCTAAAGACACCTACAAAATAAAAAGTTGGGTTAAAGGTTCAACTAGTTATTATAACAGAAAGTATACATTTATAAAATGCTCTAAAATGAGGCTAAGCTAAATCACTTCAGCTATCAACACATGCACTGAAATTTATTCTTTTATTCTGCTTGTAATCAGGTTAATAACCTTATCAAAAATGGCACAGGGTTGCTTTTTCTGGTAAATAAAACTATACACCTTGTAGTAGTTTCTCATAAAACTGCAAAAAGCACCACAATGAACCAGTAATGCTGTTCTGAATGTAACACATGTTTATTTGCCTTTGGCAAAATGCTGAACTCCATATGTTATACCAGATTGCTTATTTCAATAACTTACTGTAGAATCATTTAAATAGCTGTTGGGTAAAATTATTAACAAAGTCATACTTTAAGGTTGATTCTAACATTTGATGAATTAAGAACTTAATTAGTAGAAGATTAACATTATGCTTGTTGATTAGTCAACCTGTGTGTTTACTTTGTTTGCGTATGGTAATTCTATCATAGTTAAGATTCAGTTTAGAGCACACATAAGTTTGGTCACTGGGACACCAAGGGTAATAAACAAGAGATTAGATCTAAAAGCCAACAAGAGGAAGACAACTTCAAAGGCAGGGCAATATACAGATACACACAGGCAAGACAGTTTAATTAGCCAAACGGGAAGCCATGTCACATATAGTGTAACAAAGACAGAAGTGAGTGTAGGAATTCAGACAGTAGAATTTCCTCCATCTTTAGGAAGCTGCTTTTCCCATTGGAGCAGAAAAGATGCAGGAGGAGGACTGATGAATAGATGGACCAATAGAACAGCATGAGAGGACCGGACCAGCCTACAAGGGCACATTTGAAATTGAATAAAATCAACTGAATGGAGGAGGACAGTGTTCCTTCTCAGTAGAATTTCCTCCATCTTTAGGAAGCTGCTTTTCCCATTGGAGCAGAAAAGATGCAGGAGGAGGACGGATGGATAGATGGACCAATAGAACAGCACGAGAGGACCGGACCAGCCTACAAGGGCACATTTGAAATTGTATAAAATCAACTGAATGGAGGAGGACAGGTTTCCTTCTCGTCCTGAAGACGAATTGAACGGTTTTGCTGTTGAGGTTAGGGCTTCAGATAGAGATGGAACCCAGAGCTCTGTAAATTGCTTTATTCGATGGTCTGTTCAGTTATGATAATAAATGTTTGAAAGGTGATTGTTGACTCCGATTATTCTTCATGAAGAACACGCTGCAATCTTGGTGACCCCGACGTGATGAGGGATGTTGGAATTGGCTGTGACGTCTGAAGAAATAATCCTACTACATCTGGCCAGAGAAAAACGGGAGGTAAGCAGACACCTTTTAATTAAAAAGTTCTGCACATTGAATACTCTAAATTAAGTAGTATCATTATTTGACAGACGTCAGTAAATTCGACTTTCGGATAAAGCAATAAAAGTTGTTTAATTAATAGGGATGAGGTTCAAAGTCCGATCAAGTATAAAGTCTTGATAAAAGTGTTAAGTCGGAATTCCGTCCAGCTGGTAAAATAGGGATGAGGTTCAAAGTCCGATCAAGTATAAAGTCTTGATAAAAGTGTCTTAGGTCTTCCTTTTCAGGTATCAAGTCCTGAATAAAATAGATTGGGGTTGCAACAGGTCCTTTAGAAAATTTTGGGTTGAACTTATAAGTTGAATTTACAATTAACTTGAATGTAGAAACTTTCCAGATGAATTAAAGTAGTTAGTTTTGCTATTTGACATTGATATAAGAAGCCGGTAAAAAATTTGTACATATTAAATGTTGTATGTCTGTGAGTTATTGTAATGTGTTAAAAAATTGTGGATGTCTACATGTAATGTTTTAATCACATAGTCTCACACCTAGAGTCA